TTGAGTTTTTTGAGACAGGGTTTCTTTGTACAGTCTTGGCTGTCCTGGAACTCCCTCTGTAGACCAGGCTGGCCTTGAACTCACAGAGATTGGTTTGTTTTCTTTTCTTTCATTTTTTGTTTTGTTTTGTTTTTGAGACAGGTTCTCAAAATTTCTGATCTTCCTGCTTCCACTTTGGAGTGCTGGGACTACAGGAATACATCAACACACTTTATTTATTCAGGACTGGGGATCAGAACAAATCTTCATGCATGTTAGGCAAGCACTGTCACGACTGAGCTACATCTAAACCCCCTTAAGAATAATTTGATCAGGGCATGGGGGCACACAGTTTTAATCCCAGCACTTGGGAGGCAGAGGCAGGCTGATCTCTGTGAGTTCGAGGCCAGCCAGGGATATATAGTGAGACCTTGTCAAAGATAAACTATGCCATTAATCATTTAAATTAGTGTCTTAAATACATGCAAAGAGTCAACCCACAGAGCAGACTCCACAAGACAGTGTTTTATTAAAGCCAGCTCCCAGCCGCATTACCCAGCATGGTGTCTGCTTTCTCTCAGTCTCAGGGCAAAGTGTCACCAGGCAGACCTGACCACATTTGCTCTTCCCCAGGTGGGAAGGGATTACTCTGGCCTTAAGACCCAACCCCTCCCCGGGGTGAGACCTGCTGGCTGGTCCTCTCTCTGCGGGAAACAAATGAATATTTATTACCCTGAAAGTGCTTTTTAAAAGGGGAGGCATGATCTCTGACTTCGGCCTAGTCATAGCAACATGACTAAATGCACCAAGAAGGCTGGGATGTCGGTAAATTCAGGACCCAAGATGGTGCCTTTTTGCAGAAAATGAAGAAAGTCAGCCAGTATACCAACTATACTTACTCCTTCTTTGGCCAAATCTAAAAGATGGACTGTTAGGCATCTGTGGTTCCTGCATAAAAACAGTGGCTGGCCGGGCGGTGGTGGCGCACGCCTTTAATCCCAGCACTTGGGAGGCAGAGACAGGCGGATCTCTGTGAGTTCGAGGCCAGCCTGGGCTACCAAGTGAGTTCCAGGACAGGCGCAAAGCTACACAGAGAAACCCTGTCTTGAAAAACCAAAAAAAAAAAAAAAAAAACCAGTGGCTGGTGGAGGAGCCTGGACCTGCAACATTACTCCCTTGCACAGACGAGACAGCCACTGGACAACTGAAGGAACTGGCCTGTAGACCAGGCTGGCCTCGAACTCGCAGAGATCCTCCTGCCTCTGCCTCCTGAGTGCTGACATGAAAGGTATGCCCATGCCCAGCTTAGCACTGCCATTTCACCGATCCTTACCCTACAAAGAAGCGGTTAATTTATGTTTTAGGAGTGGGGGAGGGGCATGCGTACCATGGCCACCGTCTGCCTTGGAAAGGGCACCAGCACCATAGGGAGAGCCTGCTGGGGACACCATCACTCTGGCTGGGCCACAATGATGCCCTATCATTGAAAAGGAGAATAAAGAGGGGGTCATGCAGACACATGTGGCTTTGGACTTTATGCCCAGAAATAGGAGACGGCGGCGGGTTCTGAGGGGTAAAACTTGGGATCTTTGGATCCAGGACTACCTCTGTGGAGAGTCCCTTGTCTAGGGAACCGACATGGAGGCTGCAGGCTCTCCTGACAATTCAGACCGGCACCCTTGCCCACTGCATTCGCGATGGGCACCATGCTCCAGAAGGCCCATCAAACCCTGTCTTAGCAGCAGCTCCCTCATCCACAGCAGGTAAACACCCCAGGGACATACAGGGGACAACATAGGCCCCAGATCTGCCACAGCAGGACCCAGAAAGGCCACGGCCTGGAGCAAGGCTGGGATGGAAAATGATCTCTCCTGGGACCTTCTCTGGGATGAATCGGGAAGAAGAATTAAAGACGTGGTTCTGGCTTCTCTGCGGGTAGAACTTTCTAAAGCATCCTGCAGCTGGCTTCCCGCATGATGGGCTTCACTGACTCTTGCGGCTTCCTGAAATGAAGCCTTTCAAAGCCCTGGAAGGAAGGCTCCCCTCCCTGCCCCAGCCGCGGAGCCTGCCTCGCCAGCCACCCACCTCCACCAAGGAGAGGTCCATGCATTTGTAACTAGACTCCATGGTAGTTGTTTGGTCTCCTTGAAGTTGTAAATAATTCAGGAGAAATGCTCTCCACTGTTCTAATTAATCCACATAGAATTTTGGGCAGCAGAGATGTACAGCCTCTCCAGGATGGCCTCAGCAGGTACGAGCACCTCATTAACCGGTGTCTCGTGGCCCGGCGCCAACTGCCTGCTAATAGAGATTTCAGAGGAAGAAGCCAGAATCCTAGAAAAGATGAGGCCTGAGCTGAGCAGGCAGCCGAGGGCTGAGAAAGACTCAAACCTCAGGCCCTGCTCAACCTCCCCTCCCTCAGAGCAGAGCCTGGAAAGAAGGAATGTCCTGCTTGCCTGCAAGATGAAAGATGGCGTAGCTCATCAGATACCTGAAAGAGTCATACAATGGGACTGGAGCACTGGCTGCTCTTCCAGAGGACCCAGGTTCAATTCCCAGCACCCACATGGTGGCTCACAACTGTCTGGAACTCAGGATTCAGGAGATCTGATGTCCTCTTCTGGCTTCTGTGGGCATCAGACATACATGCAGCCCCATATTCATAGTAAAATTAAAAACAAATAAAAAACAGCAACACAAGCAGGTAATGGAGGCCCGGGTTTAGGGAGGAAGAAATGGTCTCCCCCCCCCCCCCATCCTGCAACTAAGCCCCAGTGAATGCTCTGGGCTCACAACCTTCCCTGGTCCTATGATGCCCTCAAAGTGCAGCAAAGGACCCTGAGAAGGGGAGCCTAGCTCAATCAGACACCTCCCTGGGGCTGTACCTGTGTGCTCCATATGGATAGCTGTCCCAGGGCAAAAGCCCATCTCACAGACAGAAGTCAGGACGGACAGTTGCTGATGGCTAGAGCAGGTCTCTCCAGCACCCAAATGGCCAGGCCATCCTTTTGAAAACACGCTCAGTCACCAGTGGCCAGGAGTGTAGGGGGAGCCTCGGGGAGGTGACTCAAGGGACATGCTTGCTCTACCAGGCAGTCCTGGAGCTAACGGGGTGGGTGGGTGGAGCTCTAGGGAAGGGCCTTCAGTCTGCTTTAGGGAGTTGTAAAATGAGAAGGGGCTGGAGCGGGGAGACTATAGATGTGAGGGAGGGCTGAGGTCAAAGGAATCAGTCAGTACATGTTTTAGAGATGCCCCTGGTGGCACAGGCCTAGATTACCACCTACTCTGGAGGCTGAGACAGGAGGCTTGGGAGTCCAGTGACTAGGCAACTAGTGAAACTTGTCTCGAAATTGAAAACCAGGCAAGGGCTCCAGCAGATGCTCAGCAGGTGAGGGTGCTTGCCACCCTCCAAGCCTGGGGACCCGAGTCCAGTCCCTCAAACCCACCTAAAGGAGAGAATGGCCTCTACAAAGCTGTCCTCTATCCTCTGTGGCACATCACACCCCATCACACCCTGTGCACTGTGACACACCACCCCATCACACCCTCACATGTGCACTGTGGCACACCACCCCATCACACCCTCACATGTGCATTGTGACATATCACCCCATCACACCTTCACATGTGCATTGTGGCATATCACCCCATCACACACGCACTAAAAATAAATAATTTTTAAACTAAAAAATGAGGTGTAACTCAGTAGTAGATTGCTTGCCTAGTATTCGTGAAGGCTTGCATTCCATCCCCAGTAACACATGCATATCCTCGCATGTATGCGCACACACACACACACACACACACACCCCTACAGAGAGACACACAAAGGACAAAGGGAGCCAGAAGTGAACACAGCTAAGAAAGACAACCAAGCTGCACCCTAGTACAAACCTGCTTTCCTCTGCAGTACTTTAAAAAGAACGCCCCCACCCCACTTCCCCAAAAAACCACTGCAGAACCTGTGAATGGATGAGATCTCATTTGGAAAAAGAGTTCTTTGCACATATAAAATTCTTACCAAACCAGCCTGGCTCTTCCAGTTGGGCTTAAGTTCAACTCAAAGTCCCTTAGAGAAAGGGCGGGGACATTGGGGAGGGAGGACCACAGGGTCACGTGACACAAGCCGAGACCCAAGTGATGCAGCTATAAGCCAAGGGGCCACCAGAGCTAGAAGAGACTGAAGACTCTTGCCTCTAGTGGAGCCATCTGAATGCTTGGTGTGGGACGGCTGCCTTCCAGAGAGTGCATGCCTGCGTGTGTGTGCACGTGTGCACGCACACACGCATGTGTGTGTAGTTTGTGGTCTATCAGTGGCCGTGTCCTTTGCTCAGTCCTGAAAGGCCAGGACCACCCATGCCTGATGTCAAATGGTAAGAGGAGGAGTCTCTGCCCGCCCCCCCCCAGAGAGAGGAGCACGTGCAGAAGCAGCAGCCACGGGAAGTCAGAGGCTGGTGGGCCAGGACACAGCCGTAGGGCTGCCTAGGCCTCTCAAGGGTGCAGGGAGCGTGGGGAGGGGGAGGAAAATCAGGTGCAGGCATAGGAGGGCCTGAGTCAGGCAAGAAAAAGAAGAGGGTGAGCTGACCCCAACCTCTCAAGACTTGTGTCCATGACACTTGCCATTCAGTGGCAGTTAGACATCCATAGTGTTTTGTTGCAGAGAAATTTTGAAAATTGAGTATTTTCTTCACATCTATAAGACTAATATCTATGAACAGTAAGAATCCACTAAATCGGGGGCTGGAGAGATGGCTCAGAGGTTAAGAGCACCGACTGCTCTTCCAGAGGTCCTGAGTTCAATTCCCAGCAACCATGTAGTAACTCACAACCATCTGTAACGAAAATCTGGCGCCCTCTTCTGGCCTGCAGGGATACATGCAGACGGAACACTGTATATCTAATAAATAAATAAATCTTAAAAAAAAGACTCCACTAAACCCAAGCAATATAAACAACATAGAGGTTTGGACCTGGAGTTGACAGAAGTCCTGGGTCCCCTCAGAGAAGTCTAGCCTCCCCGCTCCCCACTTACTTCCCCTTATGTACAAATTCACTTCCCCTTTGTCCTGGATGCCCCTGGGGGAAAGTGGGGGTTGGGATCATGAAACCAGAGATGCACATGTCCCAGGAAGGCCTTGCAGCGAGCTTCCTGAGTCCCTGCTTCTTCCAGCTTTGCCTCATTCTGACACCTAGGCCCCATGCCCCAGGGAAGCAAAGCCCAGGGTCCTGCCCTCCTCTTCCATTTATAGCCCCTGCAAGAGCATGCGCCCCAGCACTTCTGTTTCCACCTGCAGAGGCGGGGGTGTGTGTGTGTGTGTGTGTGTGTGTGTGTGTGTGTGTGTGTGTGTGTGTGTGAAGTGGATGATTTCATCGTGCTGCTTGGTTGGGCCCCCCGCAGAAATGCTCTAGGATCAGGAGTGCTGATGCAGAGGTTTAGAGCAGACATCACAGACCAGCTGACATCCCCTCCCACTGTTCCTGCATTGACTCCTAGCTCTCCCCAACACTCTCCTGGGATCCACTGCCGGAGAGAGAGATCTACAGCACTTCCATCTAGGTGGGCATTTGTCAACATGAACCCTCCTCCCAGGAGTTGAGATGAAGTGTCCACTCACTGCGCACATTGATAGTTTCCTCTCTGCCCATCTCTTCGGTGCCCCAGGAAAAGATGGTCTGAGCACCCTGAAAGGGGAACATGAGGACCCTGTCAAGAAGCCATTTCTCCCATGTTGTAGCTAGATGAAAGTGAGTCCCAGGATGGTTGGAACTGTCATCCAGGATGACATCTGAGGAGTGGCAGTCTGTAACTTGAACTTCAGTTTGTCCTCAAGTCCCCCTCTCCCACCAGAGTAACCTGGAGGAGCATCATCATGTCTGGGCCATCTTTGCTTCTGGACAAGGGGCCAAAACTTCAGCGCCCACCAGCAGTGGACGCCCTGGTGAGCGGCTGGTCAGGGCGCCTGAGGGTTAAGAGTGAATGATTCCAAGCTGCTCTAGAATTGGCCTCAGAAGAAAGTGAGAGAGCACTGACCCAGGAGGTTGTCTCCCTCCTGTTTGGCTCCTAATGGCTGTGTCAAGACCCTGCCCTCAGGAATCCTGCAGAAGACGAACTAAGATGGAGGCTGGGGAAGGATGCTGTGAGATGCTGTCTTCCTTCGACAGGGCGTGGCTGCTGCATTCATGGACTCAGGAGCAGCTCTGCTTTACCTGCACACAGTGAGTTGTCAGTATTCCATTGTGGGTGAAGAGGCTCACGAGGCCCCGCCCCTCCGCAGGAGTTATTAGCACTTAGTGGTTGCTGGAGGGGGGGGGCGGGCGGGGGGGGGCAGGGAGTTAGTTTCTTCCATGGTGTAGCCACTGAAAAGTTGCTCAGGCTCCACTAAATGACTCATAACTCATGCTCATGCAAGCAACCCTAAACTCAGGGGGCCCCTCCCCCCTCTCTCTCTCTCTCCCTCTCTCTCTCTATTCCTCTCTCTCTCTCTCTCTCTCTCTCTCTCTCTCACACACACACACACACACACACACACACACACACACACAAACACAGGTGCACACACACACCACACACTCACACACACATGCACACAAACAGACACAGGTGCACACACATTCACGCACACATGCACATAGAGGAAGCAAAGAGGGCCTTTGTTGGGAAGAAGCGGTTCAGCAAGCAGGAGAAAAATGAGAGCATAATGGGGGAGGGTGACCAAAATACATGATGTAATACATTATATACACATATGAAACTGTCAAAGAATAACTTTTGGTTTTGAGGAAGGGAGGGTCTCACTATGCATTCCTGGCTGGCTTGAAATTTGCTATGCAGATCAGGCTAACCTTGAACTCAGACATCTTTCATCTTCTGACTCCCAAGTGCTGGAATTAAAGGTGTGTGCCACCACATCCAGCAATAACAAGAAGAATAGAAGGAGGAGGAGGAGGAGGAAGAGGAGGAGGAGGAAGAGGAGGAGAAGGAAGAGGAGGAGAGGGGAAGGCGACCACTAGGGAGTGTGGCAGAGTGCTTATTTAGCATGCACAGGCCCTGGATTCAATCCCCAGCACCACCACTACCTTCATAAACCCAAATCCCAGCCCACACAGAGACTGGAGCAGGCCTCTCAGGGGAGAAAGAATCTCAGACTTTGGAAGAACTGGAGGGCAGTCAACTCATGGTCCCACCTGGGCCCTGGTTAGCCTGGGGCGAGTGCTCCATGTGTTACAGAGGTGGGTAGATCTGGGTAACCACCCCTCACCTGCACCTCCCCCTGTGTGCTCCAAGGGGAACAGAACTGCAAAGTCAGACAGCTGGCAAGGGATCCCACTCACCTGCAGAGCACCCCTAAGGCCTCCCGTTCCTTAGCAACGAACACCACCTGCTGAGGCCAGCCAGGATCTTAGCACCCCTTTCCAGAGGTTCCACCACCCACCCACCCCCTCTTGCCCACCTGCCCTGGAGCTTGCAGGAACTGGAAAGGCACTGGGAGCAGCAGATCACGGTCCCTGGAGAGTGCCACCCTGATCAGGGTGAAGGCGTCTAAGTCTCTTCTTCGACTGTGTATCACCAGAGCAGAGGATGCCAGGGATTCTGGCACACAACATTTTCCTTCTCATGCAGGGGCTTCAGGACAGTCTCACTGAGCCATTTTACAAGCCCTTCCTTCCTAAGAACAACCTATAAACTCGGGGATTCACCAGGACATCAGAAGACAAGCCACAGGCCAAGTGACACCCCGGAGACCTAAGAGCAGGAGATGCAAGTACGAGAGCAGCTCCCTTTGAGCTGAGTTGAGGTTTGCTTTATGTGTGGATTTACTCTGCAGGTTCAACACCTCTTCCATCCCAGGCCTTGAGTTGAGTCTCATCCTGGGGCAAACGGACAAAAACAGATCCCAAGGGTTGGCTGCCCTCTGCAGGGCATGGAAGGATATGCACCGTCCTCTCTACCAAGACCTGGTTTCTGCACACTGAGGCTGGAAAGAGCCTGAGTGACTTGGAGCTGGAGAGCCATGGCTGAGACGTTTCCCCAGGCATTTGGAATAAATTTGGTTTGGTTTGGTTTATTGAGTCTATAGCCTAGGCTGGCCTCAAATCGTGCATCTGACTCCTGAACGCTGGCACTATAATTGTGTGCCACCATACCCAGTTTATATAGCCATAGAGCATGTACCCAGGACTCGTAAGGCCCTGAGTTCAATATGCCCCCCAGAAGGGGGCAAGTGCATGTGCGTGAGTTCAGGACACATAGGAACTCAGAGCCACTGTACGAATCTGTGACTAACAAGTCTCCACAAAACTCTTTAGTAGCAGCCGGGCAGTGGTGGCACACTTGGGAGGCAGAGGCAGGCGGATCTTTGTGAGTTCGAGGCCAGCCTAGTCTACAGAATGAGATCCAGGAAAGGCGCAAAGCTACACAGAGAAACCCTGTCTCAAAAAACCAAAACAACAACAACAACAACAATAAACTCTTTAGTAGCTTAAAACAGCACAAAAATACTAGAGTGTGGGTGCTTGTCTGTAATCCCAGCACTTAAGGAGATGGAGGCAGGAGGATTGCTGACAGTCAAGGCTACATTGAATTACACAGAGCTCTAGGCCAGGCAGGGCTACAGAGCAACATCTTGTCTAAAAAATTACATACTTTCTTACATTTCTATGCTCCAGTTCTCCAGGGTAGGCCTCACGGAGTTAGAAGCAGGGTAGCAGGCTGTGCTGTCCGGCGGCTCAGGAAGGCTCTGGTTTTCTTGGTCTGTGGTTCTTTCATCTTAAAGCCAAAGGTCCTCGCTTCCAGTCCTCTGTCTTCTCTCCACCTCTCCCTGATCTTTCCAACTGACATCAAATTTCTCTAACTCTGATCCACTTTCTCCTTTTTATAAAGACCCTAGGAGGGTTGGGGTTGGGGCGGGGGCTAGGGCTGGGCTGGACTCGGTGGGTAGAATGTTTTCCTTGCATGCATAAAGCACTAGGTTCAGCCCAGCAGTGCATAAACCAGAAATGGTAGAACATGCCTGTAATTCAGCACTTGGGAAGCAGAGGCAGGAAGATCAGAATTTCAGTGTCCTCCCAGACTACAAAGAGAATTCAAGGCCAGCCTGGTCTACAGAGCAAGTTCCAGGCCAAACAGATATATAGTAAGACCTCATCTTTAAAAAGGGGGCGGCCCGGGACTTGAGTGATGGCCCAGCAGTTAAGAGCACTTGTTGATCTTGCAGAGAACGGGGGTTCAGTTCAAAACACCCACATGGCAGCTCACAACTCTGTAACTCCAGTTCAGGGGATCCAACACTCTCTTCTAACCTCTGTGGGCAATGAACACACATGGTGCACCTACATACTCATATACATAAACTAAATGCAGCTCATAAAAAATAAAATTTCAAGGAAGGCGGTGATGATGCACACCTTTAATTCAAGCACTAGGGGGCTGGAGAGATGGCTCAGAGGTTAAGAGCACTAGCTTCTCTTCCAGAGGTCCTGAGTTCAATTCCCAGCAACCACATGGTAGCTCACAACCATCTGTAAATGAGATCTGGTGCCCTCTTCTGGTGTGCAGGCAAACAGAGACAGAAGAAAAAGTGTTTATTAAAACAAAAAGGTGGGACAGGTGCTGGTGGTGGCAGAGGCACCCGGGTTATGCAGAAAAATTCTGCCTCAAAAAACAAAACAAAACAAACAAACAAAAACAACAAGGTGTATGACACTTAAGTGACATCCAAGGTTAAGGGCCTGCACACACACACACACACACACACACCACACCACACACACACACACACACACGTGCACGAGAAAAGATCCAATTCCCAATGTCAAGCCCACTTTAGAGTTCTAGATTGACCCTTGACAAAGAAGCAGCGTCTGGGCCACAGGGGAGGGAACTGGAGTTACGCTGTGCTCCCGAGTCCACAGGCCCCCTGGAAACACGGGACAACAGCTACACCAGTGTCCAGACTCCTGTGGGCATCTCCACCACCCACGAGACTCTCTGATCTCTCCGATTCCCACTTCCCCGTCTCCTACAAGTGGCGCCGCCAGAAGCCCCACACTGTGCTCCCCACACTGTGCTCCCCACACCCTCCCATCATTACCTCCCCCAACACCTGTGACCACAGTCTTTTTTGTTTGTTGGTTTTTTGGTTTTTTGAGACAGGGTTTCTCTGCATAGTTTTGGTGCCTGTCCTGAATCTTGTGCTGTAAACCAGGCCCACCTGGCTCTGCTTCCCGAGTGCTGGGATTAAAGGCGTGCTCCACTGCTGCCTGGCTGACCACAGCCTTTTTTGCTTGATGTAAGCATTAAAGGTTCATCATTGCCTTGAAATATTTTCAATCTCATTCTTCTTCTAACGAAATGAAATCCACTCTGTGACCCAGGTCATTTTTTATCTCTTCAGGGAGACCTTTCGGAGGCAGGCTCTATCTTCTCATCTCCAGGCAAAGTGTTAGTACTTGCAGGCATGTCTGGCTTTAAATTGGTTTCCCCCTGGGACACCTTGCAGTTTCCAACATGCAGCATCGAGGACTCTGCATGCAAAGGCACAGGCCATCAACCAGCACCAGACCTGGAGGCTATCAGTCTTTTAGCATCATGGCCTGGGGCTGGGCCTCAGGGGATTCTGGGAAATTCAACTGTGAGGCAGACCTCCCCCTCAGTGGGTAACATCAACCCCAAGTCTACCGAAACTGCAACACAGCACAGCTCAAGGCCAGCCTGGGCAATGTGGTGAGATCCTGTCCCCAAATCAAAAGTAAACAAAGCCAGGTGTGAGGGTGCACTCATTCTTGGAATACCAGCACCTTGCTGTTGGAGGCAAGACGATCAGGACCTCAGGGGCATCCTCTGCTATGTAGCAAGTTCAAGACCAGCCTGGGCTACACGAGACACTCCTCAAAAAGAGAGACAGGAGGTGGGGAAGGAGAGAAAGAAGAAAATAAAGATGAAAAGTAGCCTAGGGAGCCTGACACGAAGCGTGAAGACCTGACTTCTGGCCTCAGAACCCACGTGGAAAAGCCAAGCACAGGAGCTGGAGAGATGGCTCAGTGGTTAGGAGCACTGGCTGTTCTTCCAGAGGTCCTGAGTTCAATTCCCAGCAACCACATGATGACTCACAACCACCTGTAATGAGATCTGGGGCCCTCTTCTGGCCTGCAGGGATACATGCTGTATACATAATAAATAAATCTTAAAAAAAAAAAAGACAGAGATCCTGTGTCTTAGTCAGAGTTTCTACTGCTCTGAAGAGACACCATGACCATGGCAACTCTTATAAAGGAAAGCATTTAATTGAGGTGGCAGCTTACAGTTCAGAGGTTCAGTCCTTTATCATCATGGCAGGGAGCACAGTGGTGTGCAGGCAGACATGGTGCTGGCTACATCTTGATCAGAAGGCAACAGGAAGTGGAATGTGACACTGGGCGGTATCTTGAGCATAGGAAACCTCAAACACACACACACACACACACACACACACACACACACACACACACACACACACACACACTTCCTCCAACAAAGCCATACCTACTCCAACAAAGACACACTTCCTAATAGTACTATTCCCTGAGCTTATGGCGGCCAACTCTACATTCAAACTCCTACACCTGGTGAACCTCTCTTGACACCCCAAGTGTGACAGTTAATTTTCAACCTGATTAAATAAACACACCAGGCATTTATCTATTTAGTGAGACACAACTCTGGGTGTGTCAGAGAAGACACTTAAACTGGGTGTGGACAGCACAGTCCCATGGCCTGGGGGCTGGGCTAGATGGGGACAGAGGAGAAAGCCAGCAGAGGATGAATACCTGCCTTCTGAGCCACCTGGATGTGAGCCAGCAGCTTCACACTCCTGTCTCCATGGCCAGGAGTGCCTCCCAATTACATGACCCCCTAAAACCTTGAGCCAAAACGAGCCCTTGCTCCCTTGAGTTATCTGGTCACAGAAAGGAGAAACCCAGTGAAAACAGCTGCTGCACATACTTCACACACACACCTGCTGCACATATTTCACACACACACATATGGGGGTGTCCTGTTTTAACTCAGTATGCTCCCGCCCCATCTACAATGAGTCATACAGACTTGGCTTTCAGCTGCTGTAACAACTGTCCCAGCAGAGCTCTTTCAAATGCAAAACCCAGAGAATTAATCCAATAAAAAGGAAAAAGGCAATCAGGCTCAGAATGTAAACAAAAAAGACTGAAGGATGAGGCAGGAGCTGAGGCCATTTTCAGGAAGACCTTTGAATCGAAATGAAGACTAAACAAGAAAGGCCCAGATGAGCCTCGTCAGCGTTAGTCTTCCAGATTGCAATCAGCTCTTTCAAGTCCCTGGCTCCGTTCCCACAAAACTGGGCGGAACTACTTCTGACAAGGGCATCAGACTTGCCAGACTTAAACTAACGCAGAAAAACCAGGAAGCCAGGCACCGCCACCAGATGCACAGGGAGGTGCGTGCCTCTTCACACCACCTGCAGGGAAGCTGAAGAGAATTAAGTGGGCCAGCAGCCAGAGCAGCAGCTTCTCCACAAACTTCCCACCATTAAAAGGGTCAGGAGGAGGCCGGATAGATGGCTCAGTGGCTAAGAGCACTCACTATCCTTCCAAAGGACCTAAGTTCAATCCCCAGCACCTACTCACACTCCAGCTACAGAGGATCTGATGACACCTTCTGACCCCAGCAGGTACTTGGACACACATTCACACACACAAATCAAAACTTTAAAGATAAAATCTCGGGCCAGTGGGATGGCTCAGTAGGTGAACGTGCCTGCTGCCAAGCTGGAGGCCCTGAGCTGGATCCCCGGGACCCACAAAGCAGGAGAGAAGTAATTCCTACAAGTTGTTCTCCGACCTCCAGGCACCCACTGTGACATGCACCTTCCACCACACACATAAGTAAATACAATTAATTTAACTTAGTACTGCTTGCTATTGTTCATCGGTACATTTTTTTTTAAAGCATGCCTTAGGTCCTGGATTTCATCCCCAGCATAATAACAACAATAACATGAGTAACAATGAGGTATTTGTAAGAGATATGTTTCAATATCTCATTTTGTTTTGTTTTGGAGACAGGATTTCTCTGCATAGCTATGGTTGTCCTGGAACTCTCTCTGTAGACCAGGCTGGCCTCGAACTCAGAAATCTGCTTTTCTTTCTCTCTCTCAAGTGCTTGGATTAAAGATGTGTGCCACCAAGCCTGACTTTGATATTGCTTTTTAAGTATTTAATTTTTATTTTGTGTTACATGAGTGTAAGCAGGTGTGGTGGTTTGAACGGCCCTCCTTAGCTTATAGATTAGAATGCTTGGTCACCAGCATAGGAGGTGTGGCCTTGGTCTTGTTGAGGTTTCAAGGGCTCAAGCCAGGCCAGTGTATTCCTCTTCTTGCTGCCTTTGGACCCAGACAGAGAACTCTCAGCTGCCTCTCCAGCACCATGTCTGCCTGCATGCTGCCATGCTTCCCACCATGAGGATAAAGGATTAAACCTCTGAAACTATAAGCCAGCCCCAGTGAAATGTTTTCCTTTAGAAGAGTTGCCATGGTCATGGTGTCTCTTCACAGCAATAGAACACTGACTGGGACAGAAAGCCAGACGCCAGCATTTCATCCTCCAGTGCTGGAGTTACAGGTGATTGTGAGTTGCCTGGTGTGGGTGCTGAGAACTGGACTTTGGTCCTCTGGAAGAGCAGCAAGCACTCTTAAGTGCTGGAACATATCTCCAGCCCCTGACTTTTCTGGTTTGTTTGCTTAAAACAACAAAAACAAAACAGCATTGTCTACTTACTTTGCATGCCCAAATAAAGAAGCTGCAACAGTTATGTTATATTCCCAGGGTCTCACTCTGTGGTCCAGACTAGCCTGGAACTCATTACTATAGCCCAATTCTCCTGCCTCAACCTCCCAAGTACTGGGGTTTATTTTTATTTACAGGGATGAACCACCTTAGCTGACTAATTTTTCTTAATCAGGCTCCAGAATTGCTTTACTATTGATTAACCAGCCAAGGCCCTCAGGAGGACATTCACCCCAAGGTCAGAGCTGTTCCTGCTCTAATCTGTCCAATACTTGCATTTTCTTGGAAAAGCAAAAGAAACTTCATATCAGTTACATAAAACACCCTCAATTTAAGAAAGAGACTAAATGTGCTTTTCTTTTTGTTGAGACAGGTCTCATGTAGCCCAGGTTAGCCTTGCACCCCTGATCTACTTTCCTCCACCTCCCAAGTACTGGGATTACAGATGTGTGTCACCACACAAACCTCAAATGTTTTAGTTACTCAAATCCTTGCTGGTCTGGTCTTGTCTGGTCTTGGACATCAAGGACTTGGAGACTGATAAGTTTTAGGCCTCCTGAAGGCCTCTCTGCCAACGCAGCAAACTGAATCAGACCAAATTGGAAAGCCCAGGTTTAATGGGTAAAGCACTCCCGGGAGATTCCCCGACCCACAGAGAAGAGACAGAATGAGAGACCAGAAGAACCACGAGTCTGTTTTCTGGGATGCCGCTTATATCCCCTGTGGGAGTGGTCTTGAGCCTCTCTGGGGGAGGAGCTGTGTTTGGCAGGCTTTGAAGGGGCGGGTTTAGGGAAAGAGATGGGGGAGAGGAGTTGAGGCGGATCTTCCACCAGATTCCTTCCAAACAGAGATGGGCCTAGAAACACGGTTTAGGAGATGGCAAAGTCTTTTTCGTTTGTTTGAGACAGGGTATCACTATGTTGCCCTGGCTGTCCTGGAACTTGCTATGTCTGGGGCCCCACAGAGGCTCTCTAGTAATGCCTTACTCAAGGTCAGAGACTCTGAGCTTGCTTTACCCAGCAGGGCTGCATAACGAGATGATTTGGCCAGGGGCGTGGTTACCAGGTGTTTTGAAGGGTCCACACTTGGCTGTACGTTGTGCTTTGATCTTGAAAGGAGCAGGTGTTTTGCCTCTCCACTGGTAGTGTATAAAAGGCCCATTAGACTAAAACTCTGGGCGACTGAGTATTGACCCAGGGCCCTCCTGAAGCTATCCTGGGTCTCTTTTTTGTCATCTCCGCCTATATTTCTATCTACTACTTCCTCATTCCTCTCTCCTTCCCACAAGAACCCTTCGACAGACTGGAGCTGGACTCCGGCAGCTATGTAGACCAGGCTGGCCTCCAACTCACAGATACCCACCTGCCTCTGTCTCCTGAGTGCTGACATTAAAGGCGTGCATCACCATGCCCAGCTGAGGCACTTTTTAAATGCACTGGTGGAAACATGAGGTGGGTGGGTTAAAAGCAAAGCCAAGAAATCTCCATTGTAGACTTCAGATGTTATTGAACTTTCAGTTGATGAGAGACAGTACATACCAAAGGATTTACTTAATGGTCATGGTCACAAAGATAATGGCTGACATTCAGAGGAGAGCAAGAAATGGCTAAGAGGGCTAAAGGTGGCCCAAGATAATTAGGCTCCGGACCCGCAACACTCCCACTCTCCACAGTTAACAAAGATTCTCATCAGTCAATCAGCCTTGTTCAGTGAAGCTGTTCTTTCTAGAAACTTCTGTCCCCAGCAGCTGAGAGTAGATCCGTGTGCCCGGACTGGCAGTGTAAACAACACAGTTTATGCTAAACACACACCTGCCTTCTTTCTGGGAGTCTGGCAGGTGGCCAGGAGCTAGGCTGAGGCAGCGCCTGGAATCAGACCCCAGACCCCTTCTATGCCGGGTCTGACCTGGCGGGCATTCCTGGTGGGCACACAGCACAGGTGGCTGTGGGAGTGTGACCTGCATGGCCCCGAGGTAGAGACCCACATAGGTAGCTTTACCCACAGCACCTCCAGACTCTGGGTCCTGGTCCTTGTACTCTGGCAGTGGACTATGACACTGGAATAAGCTTTAGTCGTGAGTATGACCACATGCTCAGTCCTGCAAATCTTTCTGGCCGATGTCCCATGTCAGGGATGGTCCTGGGTCCCCTCAGACACAAGCTACCCCAGAGCGCCATCCTCAGCCATCATCTTCACCTGAGCAGCTGTGAGACCTGAAAGCTGGGCCTGAGGACATTCCCTCACTGGACCCTCAGCTGATTCCACCTACTTCCCCTCCACCTTGCAGACAGCTGTATCACTTCTGCCTTGACTCCACAAGGCCTCATGGGCTTAGGAGATGCTAGAGTGTATACTGGATAGAAGGGTTACTGAAGTTAGACTCCATCTGTCCTCACTGGAGAGACTTTTTGGTGGAACAGCTCCTTTTGGGCCATCCACATTCCTGTAAGCCAGCTCTCACCAATGCTCTCTAAGTAAATCCAATAAACTCGCTAGTTTTCCAAATTGGATTTTGGTGATCTTTTAATCTGGTCTGTTGTCAGTGCCCCATGTGGAACGAGTAGGCATGTAGCGGTCAAAGGACAACTCTAGGAGTCAATTCTCTCCTTCCACTATGTGAGTTCCTGTGCCTTTACATGCTTGGGTCATGTTGCCAGCCTTCTGTGCTTCTATTTTACACACACACACACACACACACTTTTTATGAGTATGGTTCTGCACGTATGTCTGCACACCACGTGTATGCCTGGTGCCTTCAGAGGCCAGGAGAAGGTGTCAGATCCCCTGGAATTGGAGCTATAGATGAAAGATGCCCTGTGAGTGCTGGAAATTGAATCTGGGTCCTTGGGAAGAGTGGCCAGCGCTTTTAACTGCTGAGTCACCCCTCTAGACAGATCACCACGCGCTGGAACTCACTTTGTAGAATAGGCTAGACTTGATTTCGGAAATCCACTTGCCTCTGCCTCTTCAATATCCCATTTTACTTTTTGAGGCAGGGTCTCCCTGAGTTGCTCAAATTAGCTTTGAACTGCTGCCTCAACAGGTCTTGGAATTTTCCAGTCACCCTATTTGAGCCTCCCAAACAGCCAGCTGGGATTAGAGCCCTGTTGCTGCCTATTGTCACCTCGCCACCCCAGCACTGGGGACAGAACCCAGGACCTCCTGCATACTATACTAGCCAAGTACTGTGGCACTAAGTCATAGTCCTAGCTCTACCCCAATACTGCAGTTTTTCCAGACTTATTTATTTATTATATATTTAGAAGACAAGGTCTCACTATGAAGCCCTGGCTGTCCTGGAACTCACTCTGTAGACCAGGCTGGCCTTGAACTCACAGAGATCTTCCTACCTCTGCTTCCCAAGTGCTGAGATTAAAGGCATGCACCAACCATGCCCAGCTCAAGACTGCTGGGCACACAAAGGTCCTTGTACTCACGGAGAAGCACTAAGAGGACCAGGAATGCTAATCACCCAGAGGTGTCTCCTCAACGGAAGGTAAAAATCAAACAACTGCATTCCATCCAGAAAGCTGAGAGGTTGTTAACGACCTGGTGACCTTTTTGCTGTCTCAAGGGACAGACTTCACTCAAATTCCCTAGAATGATTACAGAAGACTCTTCCCTCCCTAGACCATTACCCAACCTTAGGGTAGATGTCACATGTACTTTATGGCTTGCTGACCTCTATGCTATCAGTCAGAGACCACACTAGATTGCAGGCCTTTTAGCTATAGCGCCCACCCTCATGGTCACATGTACTGGGTAAAGGAGTTTCTATCTTAAGCTTTACTGTGCACCTGGAACTGGACTGATTGTTGCCTGGAAACCTTTCCCCAAATTGTACTGTGTGTTAAACATGCTGACAATGAACCACCTGACAGACTCCCTGAAGTCTGGTCCAGGTTAATGAAATCAATTTGCACTGGGTTTTCTTTCTTATCTCTTCCCTCAGTCACTTCTCTGCATGACACCTGCAGGGACCCCCCTCACAAGACATTATTTTTTTTATTTATTTATTTTTTTGGTTTTTTTTTCGAGACAGGGTTTCTCTGTGTAGCTTTGCGCCTTTCCTGGAACTCGCTTTGGAGACCAGGCTGGCCTCGAACTCACAGAGATCCGCCTGGCTCTGCCTCCCGAGTGCTGGGATTAAAGGCGTGCGCCACCACCGCCCGGCGACATTATTTTTAATGAATACTCATAAACCTATTATCTTTTGTATCCACTGTGTTGTGTAACCCCCACCACCTATCTCCATGCCTTTACTTTGCAATTCGGAAGCTATACCCAGTAAGTCTCCACTGTTCCATCTCCTACAGCCCACCATTCCACTTCTGAGCTGTGACTGGCAGGCACCTCATGTCAGGGGAGCCACATAGCATTAAGTTTCTGCTGGCTGGTTTCTTTCGCTCAACACAGTACCCTGTAGGCTTACCCAGGCTTCAGGATGTGCCACAACAGGCTCCCTTTTTTTTTTTTTGGTTTTTCGAGACAGGGTTTCTCTGTGTAGCTTTGCGCCTTTCCTGGATCTCACTCTGTAGTCCAGGCTGGCCTCGAACTCACAGAGATCCGCCTGGCTCTGCCTCCCGAGTGCTGGGATTAAAGGCGTGCGCCACCACCGCCCGGCTAACAGGCTCCCTTTTAAAGAATGAAGACTATTCCACTCTACGAATAAACCACATTTTGTATTTGTTTTCTGGTTTTGTTTTTTTTTTTTGAGACAGGGTCTCTCCATATTGCTTTAGATGGCCCGGAATTCCCTATGCTGGCTTTGAATTCCCACAGCTTACATGGCATAGCCGTGAGGAAGTAGACCAGAAGCTGGGTTCACAACCTTCAACACATGTCCTTTCCCTGGTGACAGTAATCACCAGGAATCCTACAAGCGGTGATAAGATATGGCTCCCTCCTATGAAGACACGTGGTGTTAGGGACAGGCTGCTCGGCCACCTTCCACCCACACAGCCACATGGCCTGTCCTCAGCAAGAGCCTGAGAGGATGCAAGCTCAGGAATGCAGGACTGGTTTCTCTTCATACCAAAGCTTTGGTGTGACAGTCAACCATTAACCCTGGTGTTCAGGGGCTATGTGGCCCTGTCCCCTCTTGCATGCTGGAAGCAGTGACCAGCATCCCCATAGAAGGCAGTGGAAGTGACTGGATGGCATTTTCATGAGGTGGGAAAAGGGCTCACACGCTGCCTCTGCTGGTTGTGGCTTGCTTGCTTTGGTGAACACAACTGCCATGCTGTGATTCACCCCAGGATGGCCCCTTGTGACAAGGGACAGAGGATGGTTTTCAGCAGATTCCTAGCCACAAGGGGGTACTGGTTGAGAAAAGGCAAGGGGTTCTGTAATATGGCTCAGGGTGAAGAGAATGTGCTTCTTGTGTTCGTCTGTGAGAACGGCCCCGTAGGCTCATGTATTTGAATGTTTGGCTCCCCCAGAGGGTGGAACTGTTTGAGAAGGTTAGGACCTGTGGCTCTGTTGGTGATGTGCCACTGGGAATGGCACATGGTTTCAGAAGCCCAAGCCAGGGGCTGGAGAGGTGGCGCAGTGGTAAGAGCATCAGCTGCTCTTCCAGAGGTTCTGAGTTTAATTCCTAGTACAACTGTCTATAACTGTAGTTCCATGGGATCCAATGCCCTCTTCTGGTGTGCATACATGTAAACAAAACATCTATATACATGAAACACAAATAAACCTCTAAAGCCCAAGCCAGTCCCAGTTAGCGCTCTGCCTCCTGCTTGTGGATCAAATGTAAGCGCTCAGTCACTGCTCTATGCCTGCCCACCGCCACGATGGCCATGGACTCACCATCTGGAACTTTAAACCCCAATACACCCTTAAACACGTTGCCTTGGTCATGGTATCTCTTCACAGCAAGAAAAAAAGTAAGACACTGCACCCTCATCAGATGTTTCTCAACTGCCTAGAACTGCAGTTCATGGGGATCCATTGCCCTTCTGACTGCCATGAGCTCTGCAAGCACAGAAACAAGCAGGCAAGCGCATGTGCACACAGACGAGCACATACACACATAAATGAAATAATAAAAAGAATTGCTACGCAGTGTTGGTGCACACCTTTAACCCCAGCACTTGGGAGGCAAAGGCAGGTGGATCTCTGTGAGTTCAAGGTCAGTCTAATCTAAAGAGCTAGTTCCAGGACAGCTAGGGCTGTTACAGAGACAACCCTGCTTCGAAAAACCAAAACAAACAAACAAAAATGCTTTATTAGATACAGTGATGATTTATTCAAACTTATACACACCACACACACACACACACACACACACACACACATACTTTGTGAATTTGAGCCAGATGTTGAGGCTGGAAGAGCAAGAGTTGGAGGCCAACCTGGAGTACATAGTAAATAAAGCTTCAAGATCAGGTCTTACTATCTCAATTGTAAAAGTGTCAGCTCTTATGGAAGACAGTCAACAGTACTTAAGCATCCTCTCAGACAGGATAGCCACACAGAACCCACCAGGAGGGTGGAGTTTTTCTTTATTGTAACTGGCAGGAAAACCACAGCAAAAGTCCCCCAGTAAATATTCTTTACTTCCCTAAATATGCTTTTATTAATTGACAAATGACAATCTTCATTTCATGACACGTAACTGGCCACTCCTTGCTAGGAATTGTAAGGTAAGAGAACTTGTTCAATAAAGCATTTCAAGAGAAGTTAAAGTCTCATGCCAAGTATGTGTGGTGGTGTCTTCTCACCCTCCCAGCATTCTCGAGACAACGGCAGGAGTGCTGTCTGTTGTACAAAGTCTAGGTCAGCCAGGGCTGCATATCAAGATCCTATCTCGAAAAGACTGGGGCATTTTAAATCGTGTGCTAGGCACACTCTATAACCCCAACACTGGAGGCAGGAGGGCCGCGAGTCCAAGGCCAGCCTGGGCTACACACAATGAGACCCTATTTAAAACAACTGTGTCTCAGCATCCTCACAATACATCTGAAAGTCATTCCCATGACCACACATGGAGCGGCACCTGCTTCCCGTTCCTAAGTGGTGAAATACACTCCGTAGCTAGCAAGAATCCTGAGTGACACATGACGATGAAGGCAGGATCTCTCCATGAGAACGAGGACGAGGGAGACATGATTGTAAGGAACCGAGGAAGGTGGGTGGACAGACATCCCTCATTCCGCCAGCTTTAAACTGCCAGGACCTGTAAACTTTAATACCAACTCCGCCCGACTTAACAGTGTTGGTTCTTTCATTTTCCACACTCAACATCATCCAACGGCTAGGCCATGACAGGCAGCCACTTTAACCGGCTCTGCGATGCGACCAGCTGTGTTTCCCGGAGACGTGGGCTTCATCAAATACTTCGGTAGTCAGAGCCTCGGGCCACAATGGCAGCAGCGTCCCACTCCACAGTGAAAAATGAAATGGTTCCAAAAAACCCAAATATCACCATGACCAGGAGTTGCCAGTGGAGGAGGAGGTAGTTGCTGTAGAAGAAAGCCACGGCGGCGCAGATCGACTAGAAAAAACAAGATGGATCACCCAGTGAACCCGGGGCCTCGGCAGCTCCCGTCAGCCCGCTGCTTCCGCCCCAAAGAACACCTGCGCCTGGTGGTGCCCATGGAGACAGACTTCACTGGTCACCAGCTCACGACTGTACCCAAACTTGCCCGACAGCAACCATCAAGGACGCTGTGGGCGCTACAGTGATAACGATAAAGTGCACAGAGTGAGAAGTGTGGGTCTGGGCGATGAGAGAATAGATTCTGTACCGAAGGAAGGAAGTGCACTCTGACCTGAGTGCAGAGACCAGAATGAAAATCTCTCACCCAGCTGGGCATGGTGGCGCACGCCTTTAATCCTAGCACTTGGGGGACAGAGGCAGGTGGATCTCTGTGAGTTTGAGGCCAGCCTCGTTTACAGAGTGAGATCCAGGACAGCCAGGGCTACACAGAGAAACCCTGTCTTGAAAAACAACAACACAACAAGGAACAACTCTCACCCAGCTGAGCCGCTGCAGCTGGGCTCTACTTACAATCCTCTTTACGGGGTGCCCAGCTTGCATTGGAAACCCACGGGAGGGGTGACCAACAACAGCACGAAGGACAAGGACTGCAGCGCAATCCAGAGGTTACCTGGACAAACTTAAAGACTGCGAAGGCTGGAGCGCTGTCTTCCGAGTAGAGAAACCCCAAAATGCTGAGCAGCTGCGTGTTGAAGCAGCTGTCCCCCAGGCCCAGCAGGAAACTGCAGAGAATGGCGACTTCTTTGCTGAAGAGAAGAAAAGTAGACACAGGACTGGAAAGACGGCCTAATGGTTAGGGCACGTGCTGCTGCTGTAAAGGGCTGAGCTTGGCTCCCAGAACCCACTTCCAATGGCTCCAGAGGACCTGATGCCCTCTTCTGAACTCCACAGGCACCCCAACATGCATATACATATAATTTAAATAAAAAATAGGCCAGGCACATGCTTTTAATGCCAGCACTCAGGAGGCAGAGTCAGGTGGACCTCTGTGAGTTCAAGGCCATCCTGGTCTACATACTGAGTTCCAGGACAGCCAAAACTATCTTGAAAAACCAAAAATAGCCGGGTGGCGGCGGCGGTGGTGGTGGTGGTGGCGGCGGCGGCGGTGGCGGCGGCGGCGGCGGCGGCGGCGGCGGCGGCGGCGGCGGCGGCGCACGCCTTTAATCCCAGCACTCGGGAGGCAGAGCCAGGCGGATCTCTGTGAGTTCGAGGCCAGCCTGGACTACCAAGTGAGTTCCAGGAAAGGTGCAAAGCTACACAGAGAAACCCTGTCTCGAAAAACCAAAAAAAAAAAAAAAAAAAAAAAAAAAAAAAAAAAAAAAACACCAAAAATAATCAAATTTAAAAAAAAAAAAAAGAATTTTTTATTTGTTTGTTTGTTTTTTCGAGACAGGGTTTCTCTGTGTAGCTTTGTAGACCAAGCTGGCCTCGACTCACAGGGATCTGCTTGGTTCTGCTTTCCGAGTACTGGGATTAAAGGCATGTGCCACCACTGCCCGGCAAAAAAATGAATCTTTAAAATAAATGTAATGTGTAGCACCAATATTTAGTACCACTAGAATATAGAAACAACGCTCCCAACAAAAGCAGTTTACACTTGTTTTTGTTTTATTTGGTGAAGGGGCTGCTGCGGATGGAGTCCAGGGACTCCCGATGCTAGGCAACTGCCCTGCCATTGTACTATTTCTCAGCCCTGCTTTACGACAGGGCACCACTATAGAACCCAGGCTGGCCTGGAATGCATGACCCTCCAGCCTCAGCCTCCTCAGAGCTAAGGTCACAATGTGCACACATACCCCAAAAAAGAACAAATAAATACATTTCTGAGGCCTTTTCTGTGGTATTAGGGATTAAGCCCAGGGCCTTCCAAATTCCAAACATTTCACACTCACAGTGTTATGAATCCAGCCCACCTACTAGAATTTGTTCAGTAAGAAATTATGCTTAAATGCACAGACCTTTGCATTCTTTTTTTTAAAGATTTATTTATTATGTATGCAGTGTTCTGCCTGCATGCCAGAAGAGGGCGCCAGATCTCATTACAGATGGTTGTGAACCACCATGTGGTTGCTGGGAATTGAACTCAGGACCTCTGGAAGAACAGCCAGTGCTCTTAACCACTGAGCCATCTTTCCAGCCCGACCTTTGCATTCTAGCAAACTCTGGTCTACTCTCTTTGGAAAGCAAAGACTGGGCTGGGCTCCCTTGGGTTGTGGGTTTATGCAGACACTACATCTCTAATGAATTACAAGTCAAGGCAGTGAATCAACACCCTTACACGTGAGGCCGGCCGCTCGGCCTCTCTGACCCTCCGCTAACACTGGAGTATCAGTGCTCAAGACGCAGAGAATAAAATTCTGATCAGGTGTGTCTGCACTCCTGCACAGATCAAGGGATGCTCTGGGTCCCTGCTTTAATTCCTCCGGGCTCCATCACCACGTGACACATGACCACAGGAAGCCGGCAGACTCAGAGGAGGACTAAGGGCTCCACTTCAAACCTCCAGCCGTCCACTCCCCCGGCCCACCTTAAACCACTCGGGTACCTGGGCCTGATGTACGCACTGCTGTCAGTTCCCTCTACGGGGGCGATGGGTGCATCTCCAGGCATGTTGAGAAAGATCAGGTAGAAGGCGACAAAGTGCACCAGGGTGCCCAGCAGCACGACTGGATTTCTGCCGAAGCGATTATTCTTGCTCAGCAGGCCAAAGAGGCTTCCACCTGTAGATGAAAACACACCAACACACCAGGTAGTGGTGGCGCACACCTTTAATCCCAGCACTTGGGAGGCAGAGGCAGGCGGATCTTTGTGAGTTCGAGGCCAGCCCGGGCTACAGAGTGAGTTCCAGGATAGACTACAAAGATACACAGAGAAACCCTGTCTCGAAAAACCAAAAAAAAAGACAGACGAACACTTCAAAGTCTCCACCCATCCCAGAACCAGTGGCAGGCTATAACGTGGAGCCAGGGAATGACCTCTCAGATGCTTTTGTTGTATCACAGCTTGTCCAGGAGTCACGACTGGGAGCAATCCCTGTGAAACTACGGACTGCCATAAGCGCACAGTGACAACAAATGCTTTCAGGAAGGTTACCCGTAGGAGCTCAGTGCTCAGTGCCAAGGCCACTGGCATGTCTGTTAGTCCTAATGACCGAGGAGACTAAGGGGGGAGGAGCAAAAATTCAAGGCCTGACCCAACTACAGTGAGTTCAAAGCCAGCCTGGGCAACTCCATGAGATTCTGTCTCGGAGTTTTAAAAATGGAGTCGGGTAAGCAGCTAGCTCAGTGGTGGAGTGTTTGGTCTAGTATACACAAGGCTCCAGGGTTAATTCTGACTATAAAAAAATTTTTAAAAAGTTAGCAGTTAAAAAACTTTTTTTAAAAGATTTATTTATTATGTATACAGTGTTCTGTCTGCATGGATGTCTGCACACCAGAAGAGGGCACCAGATCTCATTACAGATGGTTGTGAGCCACCATGTGGTTGCTGGGAATTGAACTCGGGACCTCTGGAAGAGCAGCCAGTGCTCTTAACCTCTGAGCCATCTCTCCAGCCTGCTAAAAAACTTCTAATGTAAGCCGGGCAGTGGTGGCACATGTCTTTAATCCCAGCAGAGGCAGGAGGATCTCTGTGAGTTCGAGGCCAGCCTGGTCTACAGAGCCAGTTCCAGGACAGGCTCCAAAGCTACAGAGAAACCCTGTCTCGAAAAACCAAAACAAACAAACAAAACAAAACAAAAAAGCCTACTAATGTTGGGCTGGAAAGATGGTTCAGTGGTTGGTTAAGAGCTCATGTTGCTCTTTCTAAGGACCCAAGTTCAATTCTCATCACCCACATCAGATGGCTTCCAGTTGCCTATAACCCCAGTCCCAGGGGAATCTGACACCTCTGACCTCTGTGGGCACTCGAATTCATGTGCATATACCTCCCATACACACAATTAAAATAATAAAGATAAATTTAACAAAACAAAACAAAACAACTTAACGTAAACAGGGTTTAGTGGTATACACTTGCAACAAGCTTGAGGCTAGCCTGTTCTATATAGTGAGTTCCAGGTCAGTCCAGAGCCACACAGCAAGACCATTTCAGAAAAAAAAAAAAAAAAAAAAAAAAGAAAAGAAAAGTTACACAGATCTGTGACACAGTGGGGGTAACTATGGTTAATGACAATTATCTGTAGGTTGCAAAATAGCTAGTAGAAAGGATCTGGCAAGTTCCGTAACACAGAGAAACGGTAAGTACTTAGGCACTGATGTGCACATCACCCTGACCTGGGACCTAGTGGTCACACAATGAGACGCCACACTGTACCCAGCCGCCTGTGCCCACACTGCCAGCACAGCCCCTCTGAACACAGCTTGGAGTCCCCAGCGTTCTGTTAACCAGCATTCTTGTTCTTCTTAATGAACAACAGAGTACACAGCATTTTCCTGGATTCCGTGAGCTATCTCTAACCCTGAATTTGAAGCCACGTGAGGGAGGGTGGCCTGGGGACCCCCAGGCTTGTGATTGTCTGAAGTGCGGGTGAGCTGTAGGACTGTCACAGGCACTTAGAAACTGCTTTTGCTGACAGTGCCAACTCACCTGTGCCCACAGGAACCTGAAGGCAGGGGAAGGCCTGGCCCCACCATTACTTCCCAGCAGTCCCTGCTGCTCTGCACACACACACATTGATCACAATGAGAGTCTGTGAAAACTGAGGGGACCCAATCCTCAGTCTGTCTCATGTGCTGTGTCATTCAAGCCCAAAGCCAGGAGTCCTATAGTACGTTACCCTCAGTACCCTAGTCCAGACCACACCAAGTACCAGCAGGTCTCTAGCCATCTATCTAAACCGTAGAGACAGCAGAGCCTTACAGACAGTTGTCCCCTCAAGCAGTAAGGAATTCTCTGAACCACCTTGCCAGAACCAGAACTCTAACAGCTGACCATGGTGTAACCAAGGCCGCCTAACAGCACACCTCCTGCCCAGGCCCCATCACTGTGACCAGGACTCTGATCCCACCACCCAAGCAACAAGGAGGGCTGAGGTGGGGGGGGGGGGGTTGAGTGTCACAATGGCTTCCAGCCTATCCAATAAATTGTGAGCTCTGGGGTGGGAAGGGGGGGAGAACAAGGGAATCCATGGCTGATATGTAAAATTAAATTAAATTATAAAATTTAAAAAAATAATAAAAATAAATAAATAAATAAAAAATTGTGAGCTCTGAGGTTAGGGAGAGACCCTGTCTCAAAGAAATAGATGGAGAGTTATAGAGGACTCTAGATGCCCTTTATTGGCCTGTGTGCACACACCACATATATATACACAAATAAGTTAAAAGAAAATAGTGATGATAGAAAAATAAAATATACCATTTGGATAAAAGTTAGTGAAAACACAAAGTCAAGGACAGAGACTTAAGATTTCTATCTTTATTATAACAAAATGTTTTGTTTTTCTTTTTAAGTAGCCCAGGCTGACCCCAAACTCACTATACAACCAAGGATGACCGTGAATTCCTCTATCATCCCATTTCCATCTCTGAAGACTCAAGAACGCAGTCACGAGTCATCACACCTGACTCTTCCTTTTCTGAACTGAAACAGGGTCTCTTTTTACTGCCCAGACTAATACTAACCCTGAACTCCTACAGAACCAGCTTTTCCAGCCTGACTTTGAATAAAAGGTTTGTTTTTGTTGTTGTTGTTGTTGTTTGTGACAGTTTTACTATGTAACAGCCTTAGCTGTCCTAGAACTATTTCTGTAAACCAGGCTGGCCTTGAACTCAGAGACCCATCTGCCTCTCAAGTGCTGGGATTAAAGGTGTGCACCACCACTGCCCGGCAAATAAGAGGTTTTTAAACTAAAAAACAAAATGCAAACAAACCTACCTAAAATTTCTCCAATGCCGATGAAAATTCCAGAGAGTCCAATGAGGCTTTTCTCTTCCGTCCCAAATTTGTTTACGGCTCCAATACAAGTCCCGTACACCCCAGAGAAGAACGTCAGCTCCAGACCTGAGGGGAGAGAAACCAACTTTAACAATAGACAGCCACTGTCTCCTTTCCGGACCTCTGCTTGTGTCGAGTAGCAGTTGAACTTGACACAATTGACAAAAACCACAGAAACCAGGACTCAGAGACAAAAGTGCTTCCCAAGGGCAGCTTTATGCTGCATAAATGACCAGACAGGCCTCTGTGGAGGGCCTGCCCCTACTTTTTCCCCCAGGGTACTCTTGAGCAGGGAGAAGTGGGAAATATTTAGATAGAAATATAGAGGAGAGGGAAACACATAGAAACATAGGATAGCCTCGGGAGGGCCTGGGTCAAAATTCACCAACTTCTCCTGTTGCTTCTAAAGGGCTATTTATAGAAATGCCAAGGGGTGGAGCAAAAGACCTCCCCCTAGCATAGCCAAGCACAGATCCTTCCAAACACCTGGTGACCACGAACGTGGTCAATCCATCCCCTAATGCAGCCTTGCTGTATAGAGCAAGCTCAGACCTCACTAGGAAACCTTTGTGGGCTTCCAGTCCTCTCCGAAAGCCTACTGGAAACTCAATTCCCCACGAAGTGGCTTTGCAGGCACAGCCTTCAGGTGATGGACCCACACGATGGTCCCTCATGATGGGATCAAGCACTTTTTAAAAAAAAAAAGATTTATTTATTTATTACGATACAGTGCTCTATCTGCATGTACACCTGCAGACAGAAGAGGGCAACAGATATCATTACAGGTAGTCATGAGCCACCACGTAGTTGCTGGGAACTGAACTCAGGACCCTAGAAGAACAAGCAGTGCTCTTAACCACTGAGCCATCCCTCCAGCCCGGGATCACTCTTACAGGACACACCAGAGTGGCTTGCTTCCTACTCTCTGCCAGCCCAGACCATGCTGGCACCTGCTCTGATTTCCTAGGCTCCAAAACTGGGGGGAAATCAGTGTGGTTTGCCGCTGCTGGTGTTTTTTAAGACAAGGTCTCACTCTGTAGCTAAGGTTGGCCAGTATGTGCCACGACATCAGGCTCAAACTGGTTTGTTTTTTTTGGTCTGTTGGGGTTTTTTTTAAGATTTATACTTTACTTTTATGTGTAAGGTGTTTTGCCTGTAGGAATGTCTATGCACCATTGTGTGCAGTGTCCACAGAGCCAGAAGAGGGCGCTGGATCCACTGGAACTGGAGTTACACGTGAGCCACCATGTGGGGGCTGAGAACCAAACCTGACCCGCTAGAAGAGCAACAAATGCCTTATCCACTGAACCATCTCTCCAGCCTGGTTTTTTGTTTGTTTGTTTTTTGTTTGTTTTATTTTTTTGAGACAGGGTTTCTCTGTGTAGTTTTGTCCTGGATCTCACTCTGTAGACCAGGCTGGCCTTGAACTCACAGAGATCCGCCTGGCTCTGCCTCCCTAGTGCTGGGACTAAAGGTGTGCGCCACCACCGCCCAGCTCTCCAGCTCGTTTTTTGGTTGGCCCTCCACGGCCCCGAGCCTGCTAGGCAATGCTCTGCCGCTCCCTTACACAGTTACACCCCAGTCCAACCACAACCTTTCCTTTTCCTCTTTTCTCTTTTTCTTGATCCTCCCACACTGAATTAGGGCGGCCCCTGTCATTGGCTGTCACCAACAGAACAGAGCAGAGATGCTACAAGGCTAGCAGACAGACCCTCAGGAAAGGTTGTTCAGCTTTTCCTGTTGTCTTTTTGGGGCCTTTAGACACTGTGAGGTCTGGCTCTCCTGTCAATCACATGGAGATCTCACGGAGGGAGGAGGTCACTCAGATAGCTACGCAGAGCTCTGATGCTACATGAGACTGACCAACAGAGTGTGACTCAGCCTTCCATCAGACACCAGGAAGACACCAGACATGTGAACACAACTGTGTCGGAGGCTCTGGCTGCAGCTGCCCTCTGAAAGCAGCCTGGGGAGGTGGCACAGGGTAGCATAGGCAGTCAGAGCAGAGAGCAGCTCGTACCTGTGTAGGCAGTCGTAACGCTCAGAAGGAGCATCTCCTTGGTGACACATAACTTCAGAGACTTTTCTGGAAGAAGAAAAAGTGGGCAGACTTAGCTAGATTTTAATTGGCAACCAAAAGTTCTAAAAATCATTTCCTTCAGCCAGAACATTCTTCTCAACGCTGTAGCCAGTAAACAAAGAACCTAAAATTTCAGATTAAAATGCATGAGGCATGAACTAAGTCTGCCCTGTAAATAGAATGTTTATTTCAAGTGCTTAAATATGTTCTGGAGACACACTGTCCTCAATGTGTTTTTAGCTCTTAATGACAAGAGGGGAGGGGAAGAAACCAGAATTACACAAGACAATAAACCACTCGAGCAGACACCACAGACAGTCCGCACAGGGAGTCAGGCCGCAGAGTCCTTGGGGTGGAACCACCTGGAGCTTCCTGACCCACAGAGACTGACTGCAGACCCAGGGCTTCCCTGCGCTGCTATTTGCAGACCGTGATGTCTGCCTCTGCACTGAGCTGTGTGCATGAGATCTGCAGGGATGAGAATGCATTTCTAAAAATGCACACACATACCCCGCCCCCAAAGATAGGGTCTCCCTCTGGCTCAAGCTGTACTGGAACTTACTATGTGGTACAAGATGGTCTGAACAAGTCCCTCTCCCTGGCACTGTCTCCAGCAGCAGGCTTACAGTCCTAGATTACCATGCACACAAAGTTTCAGCTGAATTTGTCTTTTTTTTTTTTAGACAGAATCTCCTGTATCCCAGGCTAGTCTTGAATTCCTCAGTAGCTAAGGATGACAACTGAACCTCTTGTGACTCAAGAATTGGAATTACAGGATGAAATGGAAGGATCCATAGGTTTCAGGCAAGCCTGGGCTACACAGTGAAAATCAGTCTAAAAAAGTTGCCAAATTGCAGTTCCTGTGAATTTAACTTCAGTCCTCTGACCCCCTGATCACAAGTGGATATTCTGGCAGACAAGTTCCTAGACTACAAACTGGAAAGCCAGAGTTCCAACAGTGGTAAGTCCCATTTTAGTCGGGAACCCGGCTATAACTTATTTACTTACAACCAACGCCGGTTTGTAATTATGAATGCATCTCTGAAATACAGGAAGTGTGTAAAAGCCAAATTAAACAGCCCTAATGACAGAGCATCCACGTCCCAGGTCCTTTCTAAAAACAGGTCTTGTGCCATGTGAGCCAGGCCACAGATGACGAGATCAAGAATTTCCACGCTGGCAGAAGGGGCCTAACAACTCATAAATCCCCAAGGGCCACAGGCACTAGAAGTCCTGAGAGCTGATGGCTTATAGCAGGCTGCTCCCATGGAGAATAACGGCCTTCGCAAGGGTCTCTCCTGGGAAGCAAAGAAGCTGAGAGGCTGTGGGCAGAAGCTGGAGTCAGAAGCCCATCTGTGTCTGAGGGAATGCTCGATCTGTGTGAATCACTGACTCTGTCTGCTAAGTCAGCCCCGGCTCAAACCTGCTCCATCCACCACTGACCACCTGGTTGACCTTTGGTGGTAGCTCCTGACGGCCTGCTGTCCAGTCAGTAAGACGTGCTTGTTTGTAGAAGCTCCAGCCTGGACACTGATCATCACACATTCCCAGCTGCTAACCACTAAACTGCCCACTCCCAACCTCAGGAGCAAGGAGTGCTCCCCATCTCCATCTTACGGCCAATGGATACAATTTCCTCCATGCTCCAAAAACTGTTTGGTTACTTGTGAACAGCTCTGAGTGGACTCATCCAGGTCCTGGAAACCTCCACTTTCTTCTCTGGAATGGAAGTGTCGATCACAGTCTACTATAGAACCCTCCAAACCACTCGTGAGCATGGCAGTAAGGAACCACACGGAAAGTTTACTCGAGTCTAGGGCCCGAAAAAACTCCTCAGTGGGCAAGTGCAGCTGCCCTCAACTCCAAAGTCAACACACAGGGTCCCCACACCTGACCCCCCCACCCCCCGACTTAGATGGGCAGCATTATCACTGATTTCTCATACCCCACGTTAGAGACACTGGTGGAAAGACTGGCCTATTTTAGAAGCGCATACCTGGAAGACTGAAAACACGGGGGTCATCAGTCCAAAGTTACCAGGGGAAGGGGAGGCAAATGCTGAAGGTGTTCCCGACTAGTTCTTGCATTTCAGACAGAGAATACTTACTAAACGCGTCTACTGCCTTTGTCATGTTGTTCTGGGCAGACCTGGGAAAATAAAATCAGACTGTTCCGCCTGGAAACCACAGTGGGAACAAAAGCAGCCCGTGATCAATGGCCACCCCACTTCCGTCTGGATTTGTTAAATCTGTGGCCTCAGCTGGGTTTGATGGCACACTCCCTTAATTTCAGAGTCACAGGCAAGTGGATCTTGGGGAGTTCAAGGCCAGCCTGGACTACATAGTGAGTTCCAGGCCAGCCAGAGTTATGTAGTGAGACCCTGTCTCAAACCAAACCATACCTCTGGCTCGATGTGATCTGCCAAGTAATTCCAATGATTCTCAGTGTTCTTTGCTATGAGGGACTCGTCTTGGCCCTGGTCTCCAGGGTGCTTATTGTGCTTCCCAGAATCTCCTCATTCTGAACAATGGGACAAGACTTTCTCCTAATGAATTTACTACACACACTCACTCATCTGTCTCCTTTTTGAAAAAGACACTTGAGTAAAACAGAAATACTTTGTTGCTATTGTGGGACCCACAAGAGTGGAAAGAACTGACTCCTGAAAGTGTCCTCTGACACGTGTGTCCTATGTCATGACCCACGACTGCCTACATGTATACACATACACATAAATAAATAAATGTATTAAAAATTCAAAGTATCCGGGCGGTGGTGGCGCACGCCTTTGATCCCAGCATTTGGAAGGGACGCAGAGCCCAGTGGATCTCTGTGAGTTCTAGGCCAGCCTCGACTACAGAGCGAGATCCAGGACAGGCACCAAAAACCACACAGAGAAACCCTGTCTCAAAAAACCAAAAAAAAGGGCTGGAGAGATGGCTCAGCGGTTAAGAACACTGGCTGTTCTTCCAGAGGTCCTGAGTTCAATTCCCAGCAACCACATGGTGGCTCACAACCATCTGTAATGAGATCTAGTGCTCTCTTCTGGTCTGCAGGGATACATGCAGACATTACACTGTATATATAATAAATAAATAAATCTTTAAAAAAAAAATAAAGTTAGTAAAGATCTCCTGACATAATGATAAAAACATGACTATCCCATGGTTAGAACACTCTGGTATTCTCTTACATGTGTATTACTTCTACTACCTCTAAAACTAAGTCCAATAAGAGCAGAGGCCTGTACTCTGCTAGGGTTGGCACATGGTCAGCATTATCTGCAAAACAAAGGCCCAGAAGTTTCGAGACCGCTGATCAGGCTGAGCATCGTTCCTAAGAACTATATTTTCCCACAGGTACCCATGCCCTTCTCCAGTACCTGCTGACTAACGCTCTAACACACAGCGCTGAGAACCAATCCCAGACTGCACTCACACAACACAGTAGGCTAGCCTTGTTAGGTGACATCATCTTACAGCTCCACTGTCATACAGCAGTCTGTCACTAACAGAAACCTACTGTGCCGTGCATGACTGTGTGTGTGACATATACTCAACTCTCCTCTCCTTCACTTTAAATACTCAGTGCACGTTTTCAACTGGAGTTTTATGCGTGTCTGTTTGTTTATTAAAAAGGCAACACAGAAGCAGGGCAGAGTGGCGCACACCTTTAATCCCAGCACTTGGGAGGCAGAAGCACGAGGATCTCCGTGAGTTCTAGGACAGCCAGGGCTACAGAGTGAGACCTGGTCTTAACAAAATTAGGGGACTGGAGAAATGGCAAAGAGGTTAAAAGCACTGACTACTCTTTCAAAAGTCCTGAGTTCAATTCCCAGCAACCACATGGTGGCTCACAACCATCTGTAATGAGATCTCTTCTGGTGCCCTCTTCTGGCCTGCAGTCATACATGTTGCATACATAATAAATAAATCTTAAAAAAACAAAACAAGCCGGGCGGTGGTGGCACACGCCTTTAATCCCTGCACTCGGGAGGCAGAGCCAGGCGGATCTCTGTGAGTTCGAGGCCAGCCTGCGCTACCAAGTGAGTTCCAGAAAAGGCGCAAAGCTACACAGAGAAACCCTGTCTCGAAAAACCAAAAAAACAAAAACAAAAAAAAAAACAACAAAAAAATTAAATCTTTAATTTTTCTTTTCCCCCCCTTGAATCTAAATGATACTGCAGACAAATCACCTAGGATTTTTGTTTGTATAGCTTTTGAAACAAGTGTTACATAGCCCAGGCTGGACCTGAACTCGCTGTGCAGTAGAGGGTGACCTTCAATTTCTAATCATCCCACCTCCACCCCCAAGTACTGGGATTACAGGCATGTCCACTATGCTTGGCGACCTGTCATACCCGAAATAATGTCACTATTGAAATACGCTGAGGTGACTGGGTGTGCTGGCACTCCTGTGGGATCCCAGCAGCAGAAGGCTGATGCAGGTGGGTCTCAAGTCTAGGCAAGCCTAGGCGACGTAGTGACAGCCCATTTCAAAATCAGAAAGAGATGCGCTCAATAGTTACAGCATTGGAAACCTCCTGTTCAGATCAGCACAGGAGCCTGGTCTTTGAGAGCTGCAGGGGCTTTGCCACTGGCCCCCATCACAGCATGGGGGAGCTGGAGAGCTGGAGCACAAGCACAGGACTGAAGGCATCTGTCTCCTCCTATCGGCCCAGCCTTGCACGGGGAAACTGCGGTCTAGAGACAGGACAGGACGTTTGCTACTGTGAGGGTCATCTGCAGCTGTGGAAGGACTGAAGGACCTTTCATGGCCTCTCTTCCCCAAATAGCCTTTCCCTTCTCTGTCATCCATGAATCTCCTCCATCTTTGTTTGAAAGTTCCCCCCATGTCTGTCTGTCAGAGTATCACATGTCAGCTGTGGTCAATAGTCTAGTAATCCCTAGACCACAGCTCAAACTCTACTGTAACATGAAGAAGAATGTTCCAGGTGTCTTACTCAGTGGCTTCCATGTCCTGGTCATCGCAAGACTCTTCTTCTCCAAGGACATTCTCAGGATCTGGTTTCCGAATGAGAAAGAACAGAACTGTCCCCACGAGGCTTATCACCGTCAGGGCAATGAACACTGTCCTTCGGTCGTTCTCTAGGGACAAAGGAGAGAGTGGACGGCACAGGTGAAACAATGCCAGTTAGTGCCATGCCCCCCCCTGTCGCTAGGCAGCAAAACACTTCATTACATTTTTATTATAAGGCATCAGTAAAAATTTAGGAAGAAACAGCCACTTCCACCTTCGTCTCTCAGCTGCAGAAATACTAACAAGCCCAAGACACAACAGTACAATCACAGAACCGCCTCTTCTAACTGAAGGAGGACACAGATCCAGCCACTGACCACTCACAAACCCTCGGGAGCCTGGCTAGCACGTGCACCCTCACCACGACCTTCTGCTCTCTTGGAGGTGCCCTGCAAAGCACAGCCATGAACTCGGACCTCATTTAATAAATCTGGGGCAAAAGCTTACGAAAAAGCAAACATCTGAAGGAACTTCAGTGTGCTGAAGTTCACGGGAATGACAGAGCATTGACGGGCATTTTTGTAGAACTACTGTTCTGCTTTCAAAACCATGTCTATAAAGCAACGTGAATAAGACCAACCTGAAATTTGAGTTTTCCCTTGCCAGGCAAAATATATGTAGAGATTTCCAAAGAACAAGCTGTTGGGGAGAAAGGGAGAAGATGCTGGCAAATCACTGGCATCCTGGGGGTGGGGGTGGGGGTACGCTTACTTATTTGAAACGGGGTCTCTGACTGGCCTGGAACTCAGAGATCTACCTGCCTCTGCCTCCAAGTGCTGGGATGAAAGAGGTCGGGGACTGTGCCCAGCTCATAATTGGGGCTTTTAAAACATCACTCCCATTGTTTGAAGAGGAAAAGAGGATAGTGTAGAGAACTGCCTGCCCTAGGTTACTTAACAGTATCAACTCCACCTGACTTTTTCTGAGACGTTGATCGCCCAGATGCACATGATAGTGACCTGACTCAGCACTGTCCTAGAGGCCTTGACTCACTTTGACATGTGGGACTTACTGGGACTCTCCACGTAAACTGGAGACAAACTCACGCTACTTTTAAAATCCGAAAATGGAAGGGCTCTGTGAAAAGTCTGTGACTTAAATAGCCACCTCCAACTGTTTGACAGACTTTCCTGAGGACCGGCCGGCCACTTACGGAGGCTCCTGTCTCCGATCCAGGCTCCATGGGGTGTACCTACAGTCTCAGCTACTTGGGAGGCTTGAAGCAAAATAATCACACTGAGCGGAGGAGGAGTTCAAGGCCAGCCTAGTGAGACTCCCAATCAGCCGCAACCAAACAAAACCCCACACACACACACACACACACACACACACACACACACACACGTCCCTACCACCACCATCAACTAAACGGTCAAACTTAAGTCTTGTGAAAAACCAAAACTCTTTAAAAAATGTTTATTACACTTAGTTTTTGTATGTGGGAGGAGGTGTGCCAGTGCTACAGTATACAAGCGGGGTGGGGGTGGGGGTGGGGGTGGGGGTGGGGGGGGTGAGAGGACAACCTGCTGGAGGAGCTGTCCTCTCCTCCTACCACGTGGGTCTTGGGACAGAATTCAAGTCATCAGGTCTGGTGACAAGCTTTTATCCACAGAGCCATCCACGGCCCCTAGGCTGGCCTTGAACTCACTGTGTCCGCCTGCCTTTGCCTCCCGAGCTGGAATTACAGGTCCATGCCACTATTCCTAGTGAAACTCACAGTCCTGAGCAGAATGACTGCTGCGCTTTTTCTTAGGAAACATCTGCATGCTGGACTGATCAGACCGGTGCCACCGTTCGCTCTTCTGAATTTGGTGTATTTATTAATAGCTATCAGGCGGGGCAGCCGCTTGGCAGGAAGGACGTGGCTAACGGACTACAGATAATCATATCTACATGGGTTAACTTTTAGTCTCCATTTTCTCATCTGCAGAATACAGAAAAAACCTTCTACCTCCTAAGTCTGTGTGAAGAGAACATGAAATTAAACCAATAATCCAAAAGGTCTAAAATACAGAGGCTGCTATATGCATTGGAGGTCAATATTTTGTTTGCTCATTTTAACTTTTAGGAAAACAGTTCCATGTGTTTTATGTAATTCATAGAGTATGAATCTGCACCCCACACAATAAAGAGCTAGTAAATGATGTCAGAAAGAAACCCAAGGACAGACTGAGCTCCACAGAGATCGTTACCTAGACTGTAAGAGTGCCCAGAAAATGCCGCTGTTTCTCCCGATTGTGTGCTCATCGGAATTTATTGTCAGGCAATTTCCTTGTGCTGTCCAAAGTACTAAAATTCAAACCAAAAGTTTATCAAAGGAATGACATCAGGCAGTCTCCCGTGCTAACATGTAAACAGCACCCATACCCCAGGAAAGCAGGTAAAGAGCAATGCTCACCAGCAGCTGCAATTCCAATGAAAACAGACGCTGTGTAGAAGGACCATGGGAAAGGCTGGATAAAAACGGCAATGTACATGCTAAAATACAACAGGTCAATGCATTACAGTCAAACAGTACATGAAAGAGAACGCTGAGCACGCCACCCAGGGGCCAGCTCAGAGGTTCTCGTCCTTAACTTCGACCTGGAAAGCACTTTTTTGGTTTGGGCTTTTGGAAAGGGATAAATGTGGCCGGGCGGTGGTGGCGCACGCCTTTAATCCCAGGACTCGGGAGGCAGAGCCAGGCAGATCTCTGTGAGTTCGAGGCCAGCCTGGTCTCCAAAGCGAGTTCCAGGAAAGGCGCAAAGCTACACAGAGAAACCCTGTCTCGGGGGAAAAAAAAAAAAAAAATCGGAAAGGGATAAATGTGAATTGGTTTTGGAGTTTTGTTTTGCTTTGGTTTTTTTGCCCTCAGAAGAGATCAAGCCCAGGCCTCTGTGTGTGATGGGCGAGTGCTCTGCCATTGAGCCTTCTGCAGCCCGAGCCACTCAGTGCTGTTCACCACCTCACGCCTGTAAATGCAGATTTCACAGGTTTGCAACAGCTTCTGCTATGAGCTCAATGAAGGAAGAAGAAGCTCGAGCCAGAGACAGTTCTCGATTTCACATAAACCTGCTCACCAACTTTAACAGAAAGGAAACTTATTTCAAGGAAGCTTCTTTTCAACCCTAACAGAAGGAGATTTGTGCATTCTAATTATTAAGAGTAAGACAAAAACTGGTATCTGCCAGACACGGAGAAGCCCGATAATACCAAACTTTAAAGGCCGAGCCAGGAGGATCGGCAGTTCAGGGACAGCCTGGGTCTGGGCTACAGTGAGACCCTGTCTCAAACACAAATTGAACTTGACACACACTGATGAGTATCAGTTAGAAATACAGTGTTCCTGAGCAAAAAGCATAGCACCAAATCCCAAAAATAACTACTTTCTACTGTGCTTGAAAGACGGGCTAAAGTGTTCTAAATTAAACAAGAGAAGTGGAAAAAGAACAACTCACCTGTAAAACAAGCCACTGACAAACATAGAGATCTGAGGTCCTACAATGGCAACCACGGAGGGAGTGATCAAATTGGAAGCAGAGAACACGCCGTAAATAATTGCCAAGCTGCTCGCACAATGTACAGAAAGGAAAAGAACAAAAACCTTAAGTAATATCTCAAAAATTCACTTTTCCAATTCTACTTAGGGCCAGCCAGACGGCTCATCAGGTAAAGCCTGACGACCCAAGTTCAGTCCCCAGAACCCACACTGTGCAAGGGGAGAACCAACTCCTGAATATGTCCTTTGACCTCCACGCACGCTCACACTGTGGTATGTCACACATATATCTATCTATCTATCTATATATATATGACATACATATATATATGTGTGTGTGTGTGTATGCACAAAATAAAATAATGTAAAATTCTATTAGTAATATGTAAATTTTAAAATTTTGTAGAAAATTCCATAGACTTTAGTCAGAATTAATATTTATATCCTTAAAGACCACATTAAAGTTTTCACTTATGTAACATACAGAAATATATATTTACCTTATAAATATATTAGTTATTGATGGATAGAGCTTTTGTTGAGATGGGGTCCTACTATGTAACCCTGGCTGGCTTGAAACTCACTGCACAGCCCAGACTGAGCTTGAACTCACGGCAATCCTGCTGCAGTCTCCCAAGTGCTAGGATTACAGGAATACAACCTAACACTGGCTGGTCTCTAAATCTAACCCTGGCTGGTCTCAAACCTGCAGCAACACTCCTGTCTGTCTGTCTGTCTGTCCCAGGACACTGTTGGGATTACAAGCATATTCCACCACATCTGTCTTGTATTAAACATTTGCATCGTGTTTCTTTCAGCCAGCTTGCCTGTAACATGATTCCAGGTACTTTTTGTTTGTTTGTTTGTTTGTTTGTTTTTTTCTGAGACAGGTTTTCTCTATGCTGTTTTGGAGTCTGTCCTGGAACTCGCTCTGTAGCCCAGGCTGGCCTCGAACTCACAGAGATCCGCCTGCCTCTGCCTCCCAAGTACTAGGATTAAAGGCGTGCACCACCACCGCCCGGCTCCAGGTACTGGTTTTGACAACAGAGAATATTAACAAGCTCTGTGCTGAGGACTTCACAGGTCCTTCCTCCTCTAGTCTAGACGCTATAGGAAGAAGGCATTACTACACAGCCTCACTTCATAGAGAACAGAATTGCAGTGAGTGAGTTGCCTCAGTTCAACCAGTCATTAGGTGAGTCAGGATCCAGCCCTGGAGATGTGGTCCAGGGTTCTAGGTTAAGCAGTCTATTCCACTACAATTTCTGGTAGCTGAATGGCATTTCTTTGCCATAAATAACAAGTGGAGTTAGAATTTCCTTACACTAGGATTTATTTTACTCACCTGAACATTTTTCGGTCACTTCTCAGCCCTATTACATATACACAGTTTAGTTATACAATACGTTATATCAATGTACAGATTAGCTATATGGACAGTTGTTCTATCACTATATAGCCAGGGCTGGCCTGGAACCCACGATTCTCCCATGTCCTGGGATCGCACACACACAGCAGGTCTAAGCACCCCACTACGTGTACCTCTCCTCCCCTTACTACATGTATTTGTTTTTCTTTTCTTTTGTAGACAGGGTCTCTCTACATAGCTCTGGCTATCCTGAAACTTATTATACAGTAGAGGCTGGCCTTGAACTCATAGAGGTCCCCCACCTCTGCCTCCCATGGGCTGGGATTCAAGGCTACACCACCTTATCCGGCTTACTACATATATCTTGAACAGAGGGGAACTTAAGCCGTCTTGAAGGTCCTGGTTTCATTTAATTAGGCAGTGCTTAAATCTGTAAATTCAAAGGAAATATTTCTTTGGCTTCCATAAGCGGCTCAGATATGAAATGTATTCTTTCATTTGTTCTTTAAAATACACAGAAGACACAGTGCTACAAAGCTCCAAGGGTGCTAACTGCCTAAAAAACACGGACACTGACTTCCGCTTATCTTCAGACACCATATACTAGATTTAGGTAATAAAGAGCCAAAATAAAGACTTTGTGGCTGGGTGGTAGTGTCACACACCTGTAATCTCAGCACTCAGGAGGCAGAGGCAGATGCATCTGAGTTTGAGGCCAGCCTGGTGCACAGAGTGAGTTACAGGGCAGCTAGGGCTACACAGAGAAACTCTGTCTTAAAAAAACACCTTAAAAAAAAAAAAGCTCTGGGATTCGGGAACAGGGTAACAACAAACCTATAAGCAAAGAGAAATTAAGAAAAGTAGCCAGGCACAGTAATACATGTCTGCAATCCCAAGCTGAGCATGAATGGGTTCGAGGCCAGCTTGGGATACGGGGGAAGATCTTAGTTCTCTTTCTAAAGTTTTTTTTTTGTTTTGTTTTGTTTTTTTGTTTTTTGAGACAGGGTCTCTCTGTCTTGGTTATCCTGGAACTCACTCTGTAGACCAGGCTGGCCTGGAACTCACAGAGATCCGCTTGCTTCTGCCTCCTGAGTGCTGGGATCAAAGGCATGAGCCAGTACCCTGCCTCTAAAGTCTTAAAATCAATCAAATTTAAAGAGTGTGTGTATAACTCAATTTCACAATTCTGTAATGTATACATACTAGGGATAAACATGTACAATTCTTGTCAGTTAAAAGTTTTGCTTTTGCCGGGCAGTGGTAGTGGCCCACACCCAGCACTCAGGAGGCAGAGGCAGGCAGATCTTTGAGTTCAAGGCCAGCCTGGTCCACAGAGTTAGTTTCAGGACAGCCAGGCCAACACAGAGAAACCCTGTCTGATAAAAAAAAAAAAATTAAAAATTAAAAAGTTGAGGGTTTTTACTTTATTTTATTTTGTTTTAAAGTTAAGAACCCTGAGCTAAATGAGGTAGTTCATTTGGTTAATCCTAGGACTCAGGAAGCAGAATAGAATCTCTGTAACTTTGAATAGCCATTTTGAGGCCAACCTGGTCTACAGAACAAGTTCAAGGACAGCCAGTGCTATACACAAAATCTTTGTCTCAAAAAACCAAAACAAATAAATAAGATTAATAAATAAATAAGACTAGCCAGAGTCACATAGTGAGAATGTCTCACCAAAAAGGAAAAAAAGCAGCAATAGCTTGCCCTACTTATACACAAAGACTGGAAGAACCAGCAGGACAAACTTGGAACATTCTTAGAGAACACAAAGCTGGGCTGCCAGCCTTGCTCGGCCTCTGACCCTGCTAACCACAAAGCAACTGCCTGTGTCCAATTTGTCTAGTATCTCAGCGGTGGGTAAAGCCAGGTTGACAGAGGCCCCATGGTCACCTTCCTCACAAACGTGGGGTGAGGGCTCTCCATAGCCTGGCCTGAAGGATGCTGAATTCTTTGATGTAGGTTATTGTGTGTGTGTGTGTGCGTGTGTGTGTGTGTGTGTGTGCTCGTGTGTGCGCGCGCGTACCCTGAAGCCAGGTCTACTGCTACAGGCTTCTAATCTCAGCATGAGGGAGGCAGAGGCAAGAGGATCAGAAGTTCAAGGTTCTCCTGTGATACACTGTGAGCTCAAGGCCAGGCAGCGTCAAGGCTACATGAGAAGAAGAGGGAGAAGATGTACATACCCACATTATTTAGCACATATATAAATAATAATAATTCCAGCTATAAACCCAAAGTACTTCAGACTTGTGAAGTTTTCATTTTCTCTGCCTATAAAATTGGACCTGGACAGCATAAAAATCCAAAAGCTTCTAATGAAATTACAAATTGAGGCCGGGTGGTGGTGGCGCAGGCCTTTAATTGAAGCACTGGGAGGCAGAGGCAGGCGGATCTCTGAGTTCAAGGTCAGCCTGGTCTACAGGGTGAGTTCCAGGACAACCATAGGGACCCCTTGTATTGAAACATCAAACCAAACCAAACCAAATTACAAACTGAGAATGAAATCACAGTGATTATGAAATTACAAAGCCATGAAGATCCAACGTTTCAACTGTTTAGGTTTGGAATGGAACTGACAAGACTAGCATGCACATTGGACAGGAAGCACTACACTGTCTTTATTGCCATGATCCTATTAAAGGAGCTGGGCTCAGCCGGCGTTGGTGGAGCACACCTTTAATCCCAGTGCTCGGCGGATCTCTGTGAGTTTGAGGCCAGCCTGATCTACAGAGATCCAGGACAGGCACCAAAGCTACACAGAGAAAGCGTCTGGAAAAACAAAAAAAAAAAAAAAAAAAAAAAAAAGAAAGAAACTGGGCTCAGAGAAATAACTTGCCCAAGGCAGCAGGCACTCAAGTTCTGAAGCTAGGCTTTCAATCCCAAAGTCTAATTCTGCAGAAAATCTGAAGTCATCATCTAAAACAAAAAAAAAACCTATCAAAACTTACTTACTTTTGGGATGGAGGCATGACCACCATGCCTGGCCTATCATTTTTTAGGGTCACATTTTTAAATGTATGTATGTGTAAGGGTGTATTCCTGTGTGGAAGTCGCATGACAACCTACAGGAGTTGGTTCTCTCCTTCCATATGTAGGTTCTGGGATGAATTCAAATAGCCTTGGTGGCAAGGGTGGCCCTAGCTAGCTGGCCCTAAAGTAGGAAAAAGGGACAGACTTGACACAGTCACTGCTTCTCAGAGTTTTGAATAAAATCCAATATAAGTACAAAAGGAATTACTACTATCCAGTTACAACACTTCATTGCTGGTTTTCCTGAAGAGATAGGTGTATGGAACTACAACATGCAAAGTAAAATCATGCACACAGTACAATACCTGGTATATCCACTGCCATGAAAATCTGTGCTATTTAAGCTCCTGATGACAGTTTGCTGTGTGGAAGATAAGACTAGTCAACGAAAACGCCTTGGCCATCTCCCTCCCCCTTGGAAAGCCTAAGTTCTTGGAAAGTGTTATGATTCACAGTGCTCACTATCTACCGCCCAAGCCTACCTTGAGAGGAGAAAAAGAACACAATTGCGGAACACAAACCCGAGACCCGGAACTGGCAACCAGCTGTAACTATATTGGTTTTTAATGCCTCAACCACTCAAACATTAAACGCAGAGTTTAACGCGGACAAGAATTAGAGTAACTATGGCCAATACTCAAACTCCAAGCCGCATCTGAGTAATAAACGCCAGTGTTTAACACCCCATAAAGGAGAAATGTCTGACACATGAAATCAAACTAAATCATAGAAAACAAGGAAAGGCAGGTTGAAAAACAGGAGGTGCAATCTTGGCGTGGCAGCGGACATCAACGTTTATTGTCACAACTGGAGTGCATTCTGATAGGCATTTCAAAGGAGGGAGGACAAATTCCAACTCACCGCCACATTTCCACAAGTTTGAAAGGCGGTGAACATAAACATAAAGGCAACTCCTAAAATAACGATGTTGAAAAGCTTTTTAGATTCCGGGGACATTTTGGCTCCGCTTGGTCGGAGATCAGCAGCGGCCCAGGGCAGTCACCTCTCCTCCTCCAGTCGAACCCCCTGACAATCCTGAGGGAAGAAACGAGATGAGAGAGCCAGGCAGCCAGACTACCGATTTCCAGTCCTCGAACGGGAATCGCAGGCTTAGAAGAAAGTTCTCCCCACCCGCACAGTTAGGACACTCCAGGGACGCGACCGACTGGGGAGGAGACCCGGGGCCGGCCGACAGCAACTCCAAGCTGCACGGAGGGGGGATCAGGGGCAAGGACGAGTTCCAGTAGCCGATGGGGCCCGCCCTCCCGGCCTGACTCACTGCAGATCACGAGAACGGTCAGCTGACCACAGTGTAGGCGCAGCGCCCGCCGGGAAATGTAGTCCCAGGTGGCGAGGGAGGGGGTACGCCTGCGCAAGGCGACTAGCGCGTGTCTCACTACTCGTCCCTTGGGGGGAGTGACCCCGAGCGCAGCGAGCTAAACACAGGAACAGCCAGAGTTGGGGGGTGCATCTGAGGTGGCCAGGGACACAGAGGCACCTGGGAACAGGAGTACCCCTCTGACAGAGGCGGGGCAGAGGGCTGGGCAGAAAGGTGCGTGGAGCTCGGGTATTGGCGTGGGGAAGAAGGCGGGGTCCAGTGGGGAGCGCTTCCTTTTCCTCCCTCCGTAGTACTTAGTCCTTCCCCCTCCCCGCTCCTCCCCCGGCCTCGCCGGCGGAAAGAGCATTTGGCGGGCTTTCTAACTGCCTTCCCAGGCCGCTCCCCCCTCCCCGCCGCAGTGACTGCGCGCTTTCTGCCCGCCCGCCGCGCTTTGCGCAGGCGCGCGCGGGAGGGGCGGGGCGCGCGGCCGCGACGTTACGGAACCGGGCAGGAGGAGCCAATCAGAAGATTCATTTCCGGGTGGCGCGGGCGCCATTTTGTGAGGGTGGATATAAATGCGCGCTGGGGGCCGGCCCGCCCGTTCAGTTGCTGTGAGGAGCCTGCAGCGTGAGCTCCGTCGGCCAGGGCCTTGCCGCTCCCGGCTCATCCACGCGGACGCCAACTGCCGAGAGAGGCGCGGCTTGCGGCCGCCGCGGCCTGAGGAAGCCGCGGCTTCTGCTGAGAGCGAGCGCCGGCTCCGGGCGTTAGGCCCCGGGCCGCTTCACAGCCATGAGCTACGGCCGCCCGCCTCCCGATGTGGAGGGCATGACCTCCCTCAAGGTGGACAACCTGACCTACCGCACCTCGCCCGACACGCTGAGGCGCGTCTTCGAGAAGTACGGGCGCGTCGGCGACGTGTACATCCCGCGGGACCGCTACACCAAGGAGTCCCGCGGCTTCGCCTTCGTCCGCTTCCACGACAAGCGCGACGCCGAGGACGCCATGGACGCCATGGACGGGGCCGTGCTGGACGGCCGCGAGCTGCGGGTGCAGATGGCGCGCTACGGCCGGCCGCCCGACTCGCACCACAGCCGCCGGGGCCCGCCGCCCCGGAGGTATGGCGGCGGCGGCTACGGACGGCGGAGCCGCAGGTGAGCGCGCCGGGGGCCCCGGGGGCGGAGCGGGAGGCCGCCGGGCGCACAAAGGTACGCGGAGCACGTGGAGCGGGCCCCTCCCTCGCGGCCTGGGCGGCGGCGGCGGCGGCGGGGCCTGGCCGCACGGTGCGAGACCCCGCCTCGCGGCGAGGGAAATGGCGCCCGGCAGCCAGATAATGGCGGCGGGGCGGGAGGAGCGGGCGGGCGGGCGGGGCTGGGCCGGCGGCCCGCAGCTCACCCCGGCGCTCGCGTCCCACCCGCAGCCCTCGGCGCCGTCGCCGCAGCCGCTCCCGGAGCCGGAGCCGTTCCAGGTC